TGCACAATAGTTTTAGGTTATTAAGGAATCGGGGGACAAGCAACCCTATTAAATCACAGGGCAGTAGGTTTTGCCCATATAGTGTGTACACATTTACATGCAAAAGGTAAAGAATATACAATTGGTCGCGTTGATTTGGGTGAAGAAGTAGCTATCAATGGCAATACCTAGCCAAGAGAGGGGTTTTGACTAGTTTTGATGCTAGAAATATAAGAACATAAAGATGTAATTTTAAATTTTATCACATATTTTGTCTCATGTCAACTAGAACATGATATGTCAATTAAAAAACTTAAACATTAATTATTGTTTTTATTTTTATTTTTATTGATGTAAGATGATATAATACAAAATTTGGGAAAACAGATATTTGTTTTGAATGAAATATAGCAAATGGATTATGGCATGTCCCCTTTCATGTTGGGATAGGGCAACTCAGCTCTATAATTTAACAAGTTAATTTTGCACCCTTTCGAAAGCTTATGTGACCATGCACATTTTTTTTAATCTATTTAGTCATTTTCTTTCATGTCGCAGATTCAAAAGCAGAAAATGATAGAACAGATTCTTTCTCCCGTATTTCAGGCAAAACTATGGTCAAGGTTTTTTATTAAAAAAAATTGTGTGGGAATTGGGGGCTAATTTATAAAAGGAATTAGTTTTACCATAAAAAAATATTTAAGAGCCAGTTAGGTTGGCAACATGATTAAAATAATTAAATTATCTCAAAAAACACAAAGGGTTTTGAATTTATGTGAAGGCATTATTGTTTTGAGTGTTTATGTCAAAAGTTTATTTTATCCAAACCTACTTCTTACCTTGTGTTACAAATATATGTTTTTCAAGTTAAATGTGAGAAGTCGTTTGGCAAGTTTTTGAAATCTCATTTAAAGAAATTAAATGAGATATGAGTTAATAAGACACCGACTTCTTACATTGATATTCTATATTATTTTTATATCTATTGAGTTTGAGGGGGCAAAAATTCAGTAATTACATAATTAAACCCAATGGTACTCAAGCTTTTGTGTGTGGAGGTTCTCACGGATAACTTGCAATCAAATTGGAGGGTGGGCTATTAATAGCTATTTAGGGGAAGCTTTGGTACCAGTTATGGTGAATGGTGAGATGACATAGGTTTAGACAAGGGATGACAATGAGAAACGAATTTGTGAGTAATCACCCGAATTTAACACGGAAAACTCGATATAATTGGATTCAGGTTTACCCGAGTGCAACTTTCGGGTTCGAGTTTGATACATTTGATACTTTACTTAGAACTCGATTAATATATCTAAAATTAAAAAAAACTCACATTAATACATATAAGAAACTATATATTTAGAAATACATGTTTCAGATGAGTTCTCATTAGGTTCGGATTACCCAAAATCTGACGAATTCGGAGATGATATCATTATTTTCAATCCCATTTAATTCAGGTTCAAGTTTTAGATTTTGGGTTTGGGTAAGCATAAATCTGACACCAATCCGCCACGTTGTCATTCCTAGTTTGACATTACAAGTGTAGGTGATGCATTCTGATGTATAATAATGATTATTTAGTTTATTACTCCAATATTGTGTTTGAGTAATTGCCTCATGCAATATACTTGAATATTTTTTTTAAATTAACAAGGAGAATAAGTTGTAATCTTCTCACATCATACAACAAAAAAGAGAAAAAATACATACATTAATTGTATAAGAGTTTTATACAATATTATTTTATCATCAATTATTCTTATGTAATTCTTATTTACTATTCAAAAAGTATAAATGATATACTGTATATGCCGCTTTACCGTTAGAGCGGATAAATATTCCACTCATAATAAACATGGTTATGGAAAATACTATCAAATTGTATGCTTTGTTGGAATAATTGTTCTTGCAATAATTTAATTATTTTTTGCCGGTTAGGTTTCATTGGAATTGAGGTGGCTAGCTATAATAATAACAATATTATGAAATATGAGCCTGCTTGCTATGGGGGTATATATAGAACTCCATATTGACTAATTTTATAATCAATTATTTCATGAAAACGCGAGTCACATTAATTGTTATACTATATATGACTTATTCTATATGTTTTCCATCATAAACTCCAAACCCCTGGATATAATCCATCCACTCTGGATATGATTGTATGTGAATTGAAGTACCTAATATTGACCCAAAATCATCAAGAATCTGAGGTAATGACCTAATAGTGCTACAAAGGGTCGAGGGAAAAAAGGATCCAAAACCAAAGCAAATGGGGCAGTGTCCCTACGAAATTACCAATAAGTCAAATATTCGTGCTATTCTATATGCATATTGAAAAGGGAGGGAAAGATAAAGAGAAAGAAAGACAAAAGGAGACTAAAATATCTTAATTGGAGTAGGATTTTGCAAGGATTATTATTATGCCCACCAAGGGATGAAGGGTGTGGAAAATGAGGATACAAAGGGTGGTGCCTTTTATTGTGATACTTTCCACCAATTGATTTTTTGTGAAAATGATGAGAGAAAGGGGACAAGAAATAAGCATGAGAATCTCGACTATGGGTAAATGCCAAACATGCAAATGAATCAATTTTCCCAAATGCCCCGTTTTGTGTTTTCATTCATCTTTCCACTGTCTACACCTAAAAGGAAAAGGAGTACATGATTAATATTATTCAACTATTAGACGAGTTAGTTTGTATTTTGGTGAACCAATTTAGTTAAATTTAGGGTTAATTGTACTTTTGAGTCATTGTTTTTTTATTTCATCTGTTTATACAAACAATATTGCTTATCACTTTTTATTTTGGGTGTATTTGTTTTTCTATTACTAGAAAGGAACCTAACCCTTACTAAAACAAAATTTTCTTGGATTATATACTCTTAAAAGAGCAAACAAAATATAAATTAAACAACATAAAACATATGTGTATATGTCCCCTAAGATCTTGTTGTATCTATAATCCATAAATTGAGATATGACGATGGTTTCATACCGAAATCTTTGCAATGATACGAAATCTTTATTAACGACATCACTCTATTTATGCAAAATTCATATATTGCACATCATGAAGATTTTCATCCTTATCACATAAAATTGCATAACAAAATTCGCAATTGTCTTATCCGATAACGATTCTCTTGTTTTTGATTAATATATATAACCTCATAATGTGGACTCTGAACATAACTTGAATACAATATGTATCTGTGTAAGTTAATATTTTTTTTGCTATCTACTTTCGGCTACATCATAGATCAACTTAATATATTAGATTCATAGTTCAAATATTTTTATTCGAACTTTAAAACGTAATCTACTTTTCTGTTTGAGAATCAAGAACACTCCAACATCGTTGACAATTTCAGGACAATTTATGAGCAATAAGGGACAAAATTGGAATATTTTGAGTTGATCACTAACAACAAGGTAAAAATGTATATGATTAGTTTTAAGGCAGTGCAAGTATGGTACACTCAAAATGAACAGAACCATATGATGGTCCATAAATTTGTTGGCAAAAGTATGGATCTAGTGGAAAAATTATAATTGCAAAACCAGCTTTTCCTTTTTCTCCTTTTTACCTTTTGCTATTTCTTGTTTGACTTTTACGATCGGATCATTTGCAAGTTATCTACTTATGCTATAATACGTTATAATTGGATCTGATGGGTAATTGGGCCAGAAGTTTGATTTTGATTGTAATAATTAGATGAAAAAAAATGCACTTATATGGTGAAATGACTAGTAATGGGATCCTAGGTCAGCTAAAAATCTTAAATGAACCCGTAAGTTCAATTTTTAGGTTAAAATAACCTGGTACATAGGTTAGTATTCGAAATTGTAACTTGCACTTTATCTGTTTATGAATTGGACCAAATTCTAATATAAGTTCATCTTATTCAATAGTCTAAGGTCGAAGCACTTTAACTTCTAAAGTGCAAAAATACTATAATAATATACTTGTAAGCAAATAGTGTGTCAAATGCGTCAAACAGACGAAATATTTTCTATTCTTGCACCTTCGTTATGTATTATATATCTTAATCTAATGCAGAAATTCTATAAGGACCAAGTGCTCTTTTAGCCCACACAAGCCCGTGTTGTCATCGTTTGGGTTTTTACGTGATTAAGTGTGGGTTTGAGCTTGTTCCAAGATCCTTCTTCAGCGACTTAAGATTAAAGAAGAAGGGTAGGGATAACTGAACAATATATACATCATGAATCAGAAAACGTTGATAAAACCAAAATAATATAGCTCCCAAAACAACTCTTATCCACCCACTAAATCGTGAGATATGAAGGATGAACGACACAAACTTTTATCTTAGTGTCACTAAATAATTTGATCGTAAAAACTCTCGAAAACAGTTGCAAAAAAAATAGAATTCAGATTAAGGTAACTTCAGGAAACAACAAATTTATTGATAGAAAATGACTTCCTGGAAAAAAATTTATCGGAATTAACACTTTAGTCAACAAAAGAAAGGCAAAGGACATGTAACATGCAGCTTCCCATGAATTAGTCTGTGGAAAAATGTATGTTTTACTATATTAAACTTGACATTTTGACAAGTACATTGTATTTTTTGTCTAAACTCATATGGCCCCTTTGAGTTTTATAGTTTAATGCTCTCTCATCTCTGTATGGAAATATTTTATATTATTACATTATACCATAACTTGTTTTTACAATCGAAGTTAATATACTTTTTTAAAAGATGTAACAATGTTTCATTGACAACAAAAAGAGTAATAAAAAGTAGAGTTTGGAAATGTTTAAAAAAAGGAAATACAAATTTTAATGACCCATTTATCCTTTTAAATAAAATAAATAAAAAAAATATTCATTTCGTGTGGATACTTATTCAAAAAAAAATAGTAAGTTATTTATTATGATTGATTTATTAATTAAAAAATCGATGGCTTAGATTAAAGTATGGAAATACTATTTTCCCTTGTGTATTGTCCCCCACACTCAATCCACCCATTTTTTAATCGCCATTCACCGGTGACCACCTCCTTTACGGCAAATATGCCACCACCTCCACCCCATCAGCCTCCACCACCTTCCACCATCAGTACCTCTTTCAAGGTTATCAACACAGAATCCATGTAAAAAGTAATTAGCAAACAAGATCTAGCGAGATTAGAGTGCCACCGAGCCATTGCAGCGACGCCGACAACCTTCTTTATCCTTCATGATAATCTCCTTCACTGATCCTAATTGATTGATTCAATACCTGATGACATGAATTTGAGAGAAAATGCGTGCAAAACCATCCAAGGTCAGGTAATTTTCAATGAAAAGTGTAAGTTGCAAGTCTTTTCCCACTGTTCCGGAGTGGATATGAATGATATTCTATTAGGTTCATGCACCAACACCTCTATCCAATATATATCACTAGCTTTCATCCCTCCCATTCAATTTCATGACTATAATAATATTAATCTCAGGGACTTTAAATTAATAACAAAGAAAACAAAAGGAAATAAGCCTCTATTGGTTAGTGGGTCTAGCATAGTGTAGTTCATTGCTACTTTTGCGGAAATGATATCGTTCACTCATTTTATGGATTTCCTAACGTGCTTTTTACTCACGTGCAAGTCCATAACAAAGACTAGGTACATGTTTATCGTATACATGTCACTAACAATGTCTTATTCATTATCTTACGCCAATTATAATTTTATTTTTTGTTTTTAAAATTTTTCATTTTATTCTTGTCTGATTTGTTTAGGGCAGGGAATATGACATTATTGAGGACAAGTAATCCCAATCAATCTATCTAACATTAGACCCTCGGGATTATGAAAGATTTTTTTTATAATTTTTATTTTATTTTATTAAAAATAATTAAAATCTAGACGGTTAAAAAATTCTATTTGTCTCATATGAACATCTACATTCAGTACTAAACTTTAGTATTAGAGAGGATCTTTGTTCTATTAGAGAAGTTATTTGTCACAAATGATACCTTATCAAATTAATAATTGATTTATAAGTAACATAATTTTTTTCCCACAAACGACAACATTTATTATGGGCTTTCCTCTCCAGCACTGGGATGTAAAATTGATATTGGTTTGATAATTTTAAAATAAAAAATTTACTTAACAAAAATTTAAAATGTTGGAAATTAATTTTTTGTTAATGTTTTATGTCATCATATTCTCTACCTAGAAGTGACCTATGCCCTCAAGTGAATTTTTCTATAAAAGGTTCCAAGTGACTGCTTTGAAATAATTGCTTCAAATTTTTTCTAAACCTTGACTGGTCAATCTTATACTGAATGTTAATAAGAGTTTTATTCAAATAGTTTTAGTTTGGTCTGATCGGTGATCGCGTGTTAATAAGGTCCCACTAATGCTGTATATATGCTTGAATATTAACATACAGGCTCACACGTAGAGCTTTCCCAGCCCCTTAATTTATTTATGCACCACTTGAATTGTCAAATTTACTTCAAGCTTTATCCATCACTACTATATATGTATACTAATTATAAGATGGCAGGCTAACCCACAATTTTGCCTGAAGTACCTAGACATCATTTAGGAACAGTTTGGCATTTATTTAAGATACTTTTAAGTTTTAAGTCAATAGCACAATTTTGGTTGATCAATTTTCTCTCTCGATAAATCCTAACCTCATACTTTGCTATATAATTTAGTTTATAATTAGGAAGTCTCCAACACTAGATAACCAGACTTTCCCATTTGCAAGTTTCAACGAGAATACCAAATTTCCGTACATGCCTACAACCTATATCAAGTAAACCTAAAATTCAATTATTGAAAAAAACCTTCAAACCTTCAAACCTCCACGGGCTTCACGAACTCCTGTTAAGCATAATTTTCTAACAGTGGTAGTACGTCTTTGATAGCTACTAGTGCTAGGGTTTGAAAAAGAAAAGTTCTCGTTCCTCACCTTCCTCCACTTATCACTTCATGCATTTTCCGGATTCGGACAAATATTTTTATGTGTATGGCGCACCTTTTTCAATAGTCAAACAATGGATAAATTGGGAGAAGGAAATTAGTTTGTAATAAAGTTCCACATTTGTCAAGCTTTTTCTTTATAAAAATTTTGAACCTCCCTCCCAGTTAGATTAGACTAATATATTATGTCATAATGTTGAGTCACCAGTACATCATCAATATATGATCGATCGATGAACCATAGTATTAAATTTAAGCTCGATTATTATAATTTTCTTTAAATAACATGTTTATAATGTTTTTGTTAGAAATATATTATAACATGGAAATCATGTCAATAAATTATATAGTTGCTACTCTGTTGTGTCAAAATCATTTATACAAGGGGTCTGGTTTAAACTTATATGTATGCGTGTTAGGTTACAAACTATATCATGACTCATGATTAACGCCCTTATAATTTAGCCTGACTCGTTTGATTTTAAGAGACATACAACATTGCAACAAAATGCAAGGAGGTGTTCTTATAGCCAAATATATTTTCCGAAAGTGATGGACTTAAAGTTACGCATCAGAGCTGTAATTTGAAGAGGAGGAACGCCTACTGAAGTGAATCTCGGGAAGTTCTTGTATCCATCAAAATCTTTCTCATGTCAATTTTATAAAATACTCGCAAAATATTTTAGATCAATAGAGAAGTCAGAGACTCCTTAGACTCGAGGGAATATTTTGTCATAAATTGATTGATAAATGTGACAATTGAGAGGGGAAGCATTTCATGGACAGAATTGAGTTCTAAAGCTTATGTCCCTAATGGTTGTTGATGCATAATTCCGTAGAGTTTTCGCCTTAAAGGAACATTAGACACTCTCTTCATACTTTCCATTGTTGAGAGATTATGTGGAACTTGTTAAGTCACATAGCCTTACATTTTATTTTGTGAGCCTCCCATAAAATCTATCAACTTAGATCCTCTTTGTCTATTTGTACCAGTCAATTATGTTCTCTAGATTATTCAATCTTATATGAGTTCGATTGGTCAATTTGCATAGCATTTGACACCTCAAGGGCAACATTGCTCGACTGAGATTAGGATGAGACAATACTTACGTAAACTAACCAAAGATAACTATTTTATGAGACAATACTTACTAACTAACCAGCTTACCAAATAATTGTTACACAATCAATTAGCTTAATAGCACCTTTTTCATTCTTTAAAGAATAATTTTTTTGAAAAATTAGAATAAATAAGATGCTTTTAATATTTGAGTGTAATATTTGTGCACTGCCGGTGCAAAGATTTATACACAGTCAATATAAAATCCACAATTCATTTGTATTACTTAAAAAAACAATAATGATTAAAAATAAATGATGAATAATACAATAACAATCTATAAAATATTGTAAGTGTATGCATATTTTTCTCTTAATATTTTGTGTCTTACAAATCAATCAATAAAAATACAATAATTAAATGCCCTTTTCATTGATCTCTCAATTACCCATAGTGTACAGTTTTTTTGGGTACTTTTATTCATCTTATCTTTAATTCGACAAAGTATTATAATATTATTTCTTTCACAAAATTTTAATGTATTTAACTCTTTATGAGGATAGAGGAAAAATTAGTTAAACATTCAACAACTTGAGCTTTCAACTAATCTAACTTTCTAGCTAGCTTATAAATGGACAATTATTTCATAAATTGTGCCAAATTGAGCCAAATGAGTTTCTCTGCATGAACAATGGAAATTGGCCCCAGAATCCTCTCTTTTCCATGACATGTCAGCCAATAGCACGAGGACAAAAGTATAGACAAAATAAAACACAGTAACAGAAATAATAATAACATTAATAATTGTATTATTCACTATTTTGTATTAAAGGGACCCACAGTAACTCAATTGGCTGCATCATTGACCTATCAGCAGCATGGTCCACGGGCGATTCGTGTATTCACACGGTACGCAGCCTAATTAAAGTCCCCACACGCGACGAGCGAGAGTGGCTCGAATATTATTGTGGACCACCACTCACGACAGATTAGAGGAGTGAGGTTGAGTCCCACGCGCGTAAGGATGTTTTGTATCATCGACACGTATTCGTGTTGGTACGATGTGGTGGGGCCTTATTCTTATGCGCAAAGTCCAACAACTTTCGCAAAGTCGCGCACGTGGGGACAGTGTGGGACTCGCTTCTTCACTTGTCTAACCTCTTTCATTAGTGCGTTTCGAAATCGATAGCGTGGCCTCATCTTTATCTACCACTTGCATCTACCGTTGGTTTGGTCAATTCTATGATTAGTTAAGTAAGCTATTTTATTCTTTCTTTCAATAACTTTTGAAGACTATACGTGTTTCCTTCATATAACTACTATTTGATGTAACACACCTTAATTCCATGCTTATGGTAGGTATTTTTCATCTAAGAATTATTGGGTATTTTTTGAATATTTGTAGCTCAATAATGAAGATAACATCCATGGCCCGCTCCCTTAGACCATGGCCGTGTTACTCGGCACGATCAATAATATTAGTTGGGTTTCTCGTGCCTTTGTTCATTAATACAATGGTTTGAGGGGAAGCTAATTGTGCATTTTGGCAGTAATTTGGCAATAAATATTCAGTTTTTGAAAGAAGCATGCTTTTTTTTGGGTGAAGAAAGCATCATGCTTTACTTGTAGTAGTGGTTGTGTTTGGAGGGTAGCCACACTCACTAGGGAGTTAATTTTGTTGGGGAACATATTTTTGAGGGGTGGGGTGGGGTTGTATACATAATGCATGTTTAAATTTAGGGTCGATGACTATAATTGATATCGTAATTATTAAAGATAATGTTATGCTTTTATTCATAGTTAAAGCATGATAGCAATTATTGATTTTTTTTCAAGTTTATAACCTTATTTAACACACTCTTTGTTTTGGTAAATAAATAGGAATAAATGTAATATTAATCATGTATTTATATATTTTGGGTTTTTCTATCCAAATAACCAACCAGAAAATGCAAAATAATTCTAGGATGTTTTGTATTTAATTTTTAAATATTGATGATACATTTTTGGTTTAGTTAGCAAAACCCATATATTTTTGGTTGGGTGTAAAAATAGTGTTGAGAAGTATATATATGCATAGCTAAATGAAACAATATATACTTGGGCGTTTGAAGGTGTATGACATTTTTCATAAGCAAAATTTATATTAACTTGAGAGTAGAAGGGGTATTCGCCCAAAATGACCAAATTACACTGTCAATCAATTTAAAGGACTCATACATCAATCTAAAAAAGAGAGTCTAATATTGATATATCTAAGGATGACAATGGTGTGGGTAGTGAACTACTACTTGTACCATTTATGATATTTTATTATAGTTGGACTCATCTTCATCATGGACTCGTATAGATATCAGTTAGGTTTGTTATTTGCAAGTCCTTGGATAATCAACTGAAATCCACTAGTATTTATAAATTATTATAAT